CAAAGGGGTTATGTTGAATGTCAAAACCGTTGACAAAATGCCAAAAGTGCACTGTCACTACAAACGGGGCAAAGCAGGCACTCCGCTGCGTTAGGAGCAGCACAGCGGACAGATTGAAGTGGGTTATTATCCCCCTCTACTTGGCATGGAGGAGGCTGTACTTGGAACAGTGTTCAACTTTGGGCCCCCGCAGTTCAAGAAGGAAGTGGAGAAACTGAAGCTGGATCATCGAAGGGCTGTCACGATGGGCAGGAACTTAGCTTGCGTACCCAAGCCACAATCTGTGACTGCTGCTTCTTGCTATGTCGCCTGGCACTACCAAGAGGAGCTTGGCCCTATAACCTTTGTACCTTCCCTTTCATTAGCTATTAGATCACACCCTAGCCTCCTTTTTAACAAACTTTACCAGTTCAGCTCCCTCTGCCTCTCCTGTAGGGCATGTTACGTAGCCTTGGGATGTTCAGAGTCGGAAAACCTTTTTAAATAGAAAAGCAATGCAAAACATGAACAGATTATCCAGGGAGGCTGTGGGATCTCCATTCTTAGAAGTTTTTTAAGACTTGGCTAGATAAAGCCACAGCTGACCTGATCTAATAGCGGTGGCAATCCCTTTCCAAGCAAAATCTGGATGAGATGACTTGCGGAAGTCCAATCCAACCAACATTTCTGTGACTCTGAATAGAAGTCCGACTGCACAATTTATTTTTTATTGACTAAAACCTCCACTGATTCATTACCTTTTCTTACACTTGTTTGCAGAAGCACAAAGAATAACAATTTAGTTGGTCTACAGTCGTATTTTTTTTTTTGTGAAATAAATTACACATAGACATCTCAAGTTCTGTACTGCAGAACTAGTGGCCTTCTACCATATGGATTTTCTTTGCTATCTACAACAGACATTACCTTTACTTCACACCAAACCAGTGCCAGTTCTCCTAAGTATTCCTATGTATCCTAGGGTAGCACCTGAAGTTTATGATAGTCAGGTCTGTGTTGATAGGTCTCTTCATGCTTGTACCAGACTTGCTGGAAAAGAAAACAATACGTTCAAGGACCAACTTAAAAAACTACCAATCCAAATACAGGAACAAACAAGTGTCTCCATATTGCTCACATGCTTATTTATTAGAGTTAGAAAGAATCAAAGAAATGCTTCTTCCATTGACATCTGCGGGCAGGATGGAAAAGTGCATTGCATTATTTTAACCATTTGTGGTGGGTATTTTGAGTGTTAGGCGGAATTTGCCTTTGCTGTAATATAGGGATACGATGCAGGCTAAAATCCCATAGAAGCTTCCAAAATTTAATTGCTTGACTCCTTTTATATTGCAAAATCAGCATGCTAAAATATACTACAGCCCTTTTACTGTGTTATGGACTTGAGGTTTTGAATGCACTGAAAAACTGGATCTGAGCACATGTATCAAAAACTTCTTTCAGTTATGCTTGTGCATGTAAATGCAGCAGTGCCCTTTGCACAGCAGCGGCACACTTGAACAGCTCTAGGGGACTGGTTGAGTGTTAGTAACCTGCTTCTTTGGTTCCTCCTTCTCTCCAGCTTCTCACAGCCCCTCATCTGTTTCCACAGACAGCTGTTGAAGTGGTAAACATCATCTCCTTGCTTGAGCAAGATGGGATTCAAAGAGATCTCAGACTGCATTGGAGCAGGCAAGTGCCTGTGCTAACTCCCTTTACCTTTTTTTTTCTCCTGTAGTGGTCCTATACAGCTTGCTCAGGACTCTGCCTGTCTTCCTGTATCACTGTTGGGGTTTTATCTGCTTGGTATTGATTCCAGTGAACACTTTCTTCTGACTTTCAAAAGCAGCTGTCAGAGGGTAACTCAGCTCTTCAAAATGTTGTGAGGTGGAGATGGCTGTAATCCAGTCTGGGGGGTGGACTTTGACAGGTAGCTGGAAACAGTATAGGGCCTGTGGGAATTTTGTAGGAGGAAGGCTTAAAATGGACATTTTTAGAGACAGGTCAAAATAATATTTTTTTATCATAGGATTCCTCATATGAAAGGGGAAGCTGGTATCAAATCTTTGTTCCTGTTTTATTTCTCTTAAGAGCTGGAGCTCGTATTACTGTATCACTGTTGTCAGATCATAGTTTTCTGCAGCTATAGATGTTTTTCCATGGTGCTGAAAAGCTTTGCCAGCCACCACTTTTGGAAGAACTGTTAGCTCAGCTTCATTTTTTAAAACATAAGAAACAGTTTAGACAATGCATGTTAGACAATACTCCTGTTGTCTATGACTAAAAAAATGAAATATTGACTTGTTTGCAAGCATGACAGAGCTAGAATCCTTTGAAAGATTTTAGCATTATGTGGGTTGGTTTTTGTTAAGTGGCACCCAGAGGCATCTATCCATCTTCCACGGCAGAAGTATTTAGATGCACATACATAGTCTCTCATTTTAAAAAGTGCTCATACAACTTGTTATAACCTTCTAGTCAGAGCAGGCTAATGGTACATCACCTCTTTAGTGCCTCAACTGAGTTGCTAAGCTACCATAAGTCTATTGCTTCCAGTCACATACCCTCATCCCACAAATATGAATGGCTAACACACTGAAACAACCTTGCCCCAAGAATGCAGAGCAGAAGGAGAAATTTTGAGGTGAGTAATGGCTGTGGGTAGGAGAGAAGTGTTCTTTTCTTTCCTTTGTTATAACCAATGTTGCATTTTTGTGACCACGTCCAGAGAAAAATCAAGCAAGGAGCATTGTCTGCATAGCTTCTGGGTGAAGAGAGATAGTAAGTGGAAAGATAAATGGGGATGAGAACAGAGATAATGTGCAGAGGAAGGGAGGCGCCCGAAGAGGGATAGACAGACAGACAGCTGGAGCAAACTGGGTGCTGTGCTCCGGAGGCAGCTTGTCTCTGTTCTTGCCAGCCTCTGCCGCTCAAACTCCACCTCAGTAAGTGAAGGACAGAGATCCCTGTGCTGTGGGCACTTCCAGCGTGGAGGGAGATGATGAAGGAAGGGATGCTGAGTGGCTGCTTCCCCGGGGTAACTTGAAGATTACACATTTCTGGCTGCAAGTGTAGGAAAATATCTTGTCTGGGGAGATGCTGCTCTCCCACATCAGTCTTCATATAAATTTTCTCCCTGCTCTCGCATTATAGCTACGTCCAGAAGGGTTTGGTATGTAAGTCCAGTCTGTGGCAGGAGTTAGTGTACACTGGCCCAGGGATCAGTAACTAGATAATAAATCTTTTTGAATCCTGACTGGCGTTATGTCTTGATAGGAGAGTAAATCTCACCCTCTCAGCAGCAAGCTATTCTTTCATTGCAAGGATGCTACTGGTGAATGATGTTTTCCAGACTGATGAATGTGGGATTTCCTGTGCTGTAAGTTATTTTGTTTGTCTCTGGTGTTTATGTTCCAGCTTTATGAAGCAGTCTGTCTGGGGAAAGGCCCAGAAATAATTAGCTGAGGCTTTTCTTCTGATACAGGTCTTTATAACCATAGATCTCTAGCAAATCCAAATGTGAAAGTAAAATCTTGTTTCACCCTGGTGCTGAAATGTTGAATACAAATAGTAGTGCTTTCACAGGCGTGCTTTATTCCTGTATGTCTTTAAAACTTTTCACTTTAAAACCAGCTAGTACAGTGAAGATGAAAAAAAGTTGAGAGGTTGAAGAAAATAGACTCCTGCCAGATATAGACCCCTCCATAGCCTTCCTGGCCGTTGACTGGAAATGTTCATTCAGAGAACTTTCTTGCAAACATTACTCTCAGGTGTAGTGACGGATTTTCCTATAGCTTCCATAGCTTTAAAATCCACGTGTACTTTAGGCTTTGTTCAGTGTATTTGTTTTTCAATCATCCGTTGCAATACTTTAAGAGGAAACAGCAAAACAACTTCTGTCCCTGTCTCTTCGTATTCATTTGGCGTTCTTTTCCTGCTTCTTCTCAAGGGCTTTACCTGGCAGACTGCACACAAGCTGCCTTTCAGCTCATGCCAGGTAAGCACAGGGACATCCCTCCAGATGGACTTTTAGCAGATTTGTTGATGCCTTTGTGCCATTAACAGTGTATTATCCCCAGTTCTTACAGGTTGCAACTTTGTACTTTTAGCAGATTTGTTGATGCCTTTGTGTCATTAACAGTGTATGATCCCCATTTCTTACAGGATGCAACTTTGAATTCTGCTGCTTTCCTTCATCTATTCCAAATACTAGCTTTTCTTTTTCTGCCTAAAATCCTAATTTCTGATGGCAACAGGACCTCTGCAATAAACCCTATAATCTTTTCCTTCCTGGAAAGATGACAATGAAGAAGGCTATCACGTGGGAAAACCTATTTTCTTTAGGACAATTTATTAAGGCATTTGTGACTTTGGCTTCTTGTTCTGTTTTTGGTCCTTGAATGTTCTCTATTTCTTAAAAAGTACAAGAAACATAGAAAGTATAATGCAACCTTGCAGCAAAACGTCTTGCAAATGGACAGCTAAGGCACAGAAAAGTTAGCAATGCAACGGAGATCTGGGAGAGAGAACCAAGAGGAAATACGTGTTCTTTTGCTTCCTTGTCCTTTTCCTCTTTTGCCACATATACAAGGCAGAGCAACTTTGTGCCATAGAAGGGGCAAGAGTAAATAACAGAAAATCAGCGTCTGGAAGATAAAAAGCTGTCAGTTCAGCTGCAGAGATTCTGCTGTACGATTCTGTAAGATTGCTAATTAAAAATCAGCATTAAAATCTATTCTGAGAAGTTCAAGAAGGGAAACAAATAGCTGGTAGCCCATCTGTTTTCCCGTAGCTACTGGTAGCTCGTGCTGCATCTGAATCTGAAGCATCAGGATGCTTCAGAGAGGCTCAGAAGCAGCAGCCCCTCGACTTTCGGCGGCTCCCGAGCCCCATTGGCTGGAAGGCAAAGCAGAGGCGGAGAGTGCCCTGAATATTTTTCTCCTCCACACACCATAAAACAGGCAGCCAGCATGCACTGTCTGACAGCGAGACTGGTGCTTGCAGTTTGAAATGAGTTTCTGCTCCGCAGCAGCCACTTGGGCATATTCTGTTTGCCTCTCTTAATGGAAGGGAACAAAAAAACCTTGCAGCGTACCAGTGAACTAAACAGGAGCTGACCATAGGGGAGAATCTGATGCAAACTTGCAGACTGTTGGGACTCTGTGGCATAGATCACCAAGGTAAATGTGATGGTGTTCAGCAACTGCTTCTGTGACAGAGTAAACCCCTATTTCTGACTTTGAAACCTTATTTTGTAGCAGCAGTCAAAGCGTTCTGAACTGCTGCCTGCCTCGGTGCTGGCTTATTTTTCTTTTCTTCCCGAGCTGAAAAGCCAAAGAAGGTTTTCAAAGGAATGCAAAAGGAACAGGAGTTTTAAAAGCAGGAAGCTGAAAGGGGATCTCCGTAAGATGAATTTCACCCAGCACCGCGGGACACTCCAGCCTCTCCATTTCCGGAACCACAGCTACGGACTGCACGGAGGTGCCAGCGAGCCCAGTGCAAAGGGCCACCCCTCGGGAGGCTGCTACGAGCAACTCTTCGTGTCACCCAAAGTGTTTGTGACTCTGGGCATCATCAGCTTGTTGGAGAACATCTTGGTCATCGTGGCGATAGCCAAGAACAAGAACCTTCATTCGCCCATGTACTTCTTCATCTGTAGCTTGGCAGTGGCTGACATGCTAGTGAGCGTGTCTAATGGATCAGAAACGATTGTCATCACGCTGCTAAACAACACAGACACAGACGCACAGAGCTTTACCATAAACATTGATAATGTCATTGACTCAGTGATTTGCAGTTCCTTGCTCGCATCAATTTGCAGTCTCCTCTCAATAGCAGTGGACAGGTACTTTACGATCTTTTACGCCCTCCAGTACCATAATATCATGACGGTGAAGCGCGTAGGGGTCATCATCACGTGCATCTGGGCTGCTTGCACAGTCTCAGGCATTTTGTTCATCATTTACTCTGACAGCAGCGTTGTCATCATCTGCCTTATTAGCATGTTCTTCACTATGCTCATTCTCATGGCATCCCTCTATGTCCACATGTTCATGATGGCTCGGATGCATATCAAAAAGATCGCTGTGCTTCCAGGGACTGGCCCTATTCGCCAAGGGGCCAACATGAAAGGGGCCATCACTCTCACCATCCTGATTGGAGTTTTTGTTGTGTGCTGGGCTCCATTTTTCCTGCACCTGATTTTCTACATCTCCTGCCCCTACAACCCTTACTGTGTGTGCTTCATGTCCCACTTTAACTTCTACCTTATCCTCATCATGTGCAATTCCATCATTGACCCACTCATCTATGCATTCCGCAGTCAGGAGCTCAGGAAAACATTCAAGGAGATTATATGCTGCTGTAGCCTGCGAGGGCTTTGCGATTTCCCTGGCAAATATTAAACTGAGTAGATACGTTACTGTGTACACAACATGCAGCACAGACTTCCAAGCCTTCAAATCCTCTTTCTCAGCAGAATTTGGGTTAAAACTTTAAGAGTGAGCAACTCTTTCTGTCTCCCCTCCCTCTCATCCTTGTATCCCATTCACTTGTAATTCATATTTCTGTATAATGTTTGTGATATCTACAGTTTGTAATTTATTTGTCTGGAAAGAGAAGTGGCACTTCATTCCAGTTTGTATGTAAGCAAATAAATGTAATGATGAATGTGAAATACCAACAAGTATGAGCAGCTGTATGTTCCAACTGCTAACTTGCAGTGCATATCGGCTGATACTGTTCTGTATTCTGTTGAAGTAATTATAGCCATCCATTACATTATATACAGTTTAAAATAGAGCATATGCTTCTCTGTTAAGGGATTAGAAGTTCTCTGGAATTAGAAAGCAGATTTTTCATAAAGGTTGCTGCAGCCAAGGAGTCATGCTCATTCATTTTGAACTCTTTTCCTCCTACTCCACAAGCAGCAGTTCTGTTCTTTTTTACAGTCATTGCCTATAACAACAAGATTTTTTGAACGCCTGCTACCGAGACAATCAGATGCTTGGGTTTTGTTTTTTTTTTCCCAAGACAGTGATTGCTGTGTCTGAAAGTGCCTTTTTGCAAAGTTGGAATTGTTCCCTGGAGCAGCAGTTAGCCCTGGGTATATTTGCTACGCTGGCATCCAGGTAGACTAGCACCCTCCATTCAGCCATGAAGCAGGTACAGTATTAACATTGTCAGTGCTAGGACCAGTGTAAAGATCCACTGAGAGATTTACCTGATGAAGGTAAAGAGGGATCTGCAGTTTGAACATTCAGTCCCTCCTTGTTCTGAGTTGCTGTGGGGAACAAGGACTCTGTGCTTCAGAAGAAAATACATCCTTCTTAGAAATCAGCTGCCATCTACTCTGAAGTGTGGTGTTAGCAGATAGGATCCACTGCCAGGATCGTTACAGAGGAGTCAATGCACGTGTTGATTTGGCTTGGGCAGCCCAGACCATACTGTGGAGCATGATTTTTGCAGGGACAATGCTATCACACAGAAAGGATGCTGGCCAATGAGTCTCTAAACCCATGCTCTGTAGCTGGCAGCCCTGTGTGTTGCTGCAGCTTGAAGTCAGTTCACCTTTCCAGGCATCTAATTGATGTGTTCTCAGTTTTATGCTAAAACGCTGGTCTCTCTCTCCAGATTATAATAAGGACCTCAGGTTCCGGATTTTAGCACCTTTGGAAGTGTTTAAAGTATTAATGTGAGGACACAGGATTCCATGACGATGTCCCTTAACACCCTGACAATATCAGCTTCTTTGTAAGGGCATAGAAATATTTATGTATTTATTCCCGGGAAATATAAAAACATAGTGATAACTGGTAGAAGACCTGGAAAATTCTGATTTAAAAAGTCAAAACTGGTCATAAAGAATAATTTAGGTTTTAATCCTGGATTACTGATTTTACCCAGAGAAGTAGTGAATTAGCTGGAAAAGTAGTCCTATTAATTTTCTCGAAGATGGCTTGTTACCTCAAGCTGCTTGTTCCCTTGTTAAAGAAAGACATGCAACAAAAAGCTATTTGCGAAAGCCCAGTGTTTACTACCTGGGATTCTTCTCCAGACAGAAGTTGCTCTTTCAGTTGTGGGTAACTTCAGGATATTGTAAAACCATGACAACATTTGGTCCTGTGTCAAAGACGATGAAGGACTTAAGGTGGGTCTCAGTGTCTTTAACTTCAATTTACTTACAGGGAGGGTAAGAAAGTCATTTGACTTTGTGCATCAGAGTCCCTTGGTAGACCAGCAGCAGAGAAATCAGGTCTCCTGCACCCTGCTCTTGCACTTGGGTCACTCCATCCACCACACTGCTTGCAACACGCCCCTGTTACTTTCTCTCAGCTTTAGTAAGTTGTCTTGCAACATCATAGTGGTTGCTGAGGGGAAGATGTTGAAATATATCTACTACATTAACTCTACTTATTTTCTTCTGGAGGAAACTATAAACATTTCAATAATACATCCCCACCTCCTTCTACTGAGAATAAGAAATGTCAAAGAAGGAGGATTAAAGCTCAAGATGAGAAAAAAATGCATGTACTTAGATTAATAGTCTGTTCAAAAATCCAGTGGACTTTATTCAAGGCCTTTCCCTCTCCCACAAGATGTTACTAGCTATGCAAAAATGCTCTTGCAATAATGCAAGAAATTGCTGATGCCAGTTTGAACAATACACAAATCTCTCTTTATCTTTGTTTTGACTCACTTTCTTTAGCTATTTTAGGACTGTAAATTATGGTACTGGGCTCTGGATACTCCCGTTCTAGTCCACGGATGCAGAGGGGGTCCATTGGCAAGTGGCACAAGAGCAAGATACTGCCTTAGGTGCTCTGAACATTACCTCAAAAGTCCCTCTTTCTACCCTTAGGCTGTACAAGGACCAGACACCTAATATAAACATATCTGAATTCTGAAGTAATTTACTTCCTGAACTCTAAGTTGATTCTTAAAACTAACAGTCTTACTTGTTTTTGCAACCCAAGGGGAAGAAAAATAACAATTAATTTGTATCATGCTGGTGTGAAGGTTTTCACCAGTGATTTCCTTGTAGTTTCCAAAACCAGTGTGTTTCTTTTCCATCCTTATTTGGACTAAGACTAGTCAAGCCAGTTGTGACCCCATTAAGTTCTAAATATCACATAGAAATCTAATTTTTAAAACTAGCTTATTCCAGAGTTTTAGCAGCTCTGACCCTGTTTAGCAGCTCTTCTGTCTTTATTTTATAATGCTAACTGTATATACATACTTTTTTAAATGGAGTTTTTAATTAAAGAGGAGTTCTTCATTTCACAGTATGATCTTTTAGAGTATAATTTACTTAAATTGATGGCAAACCTCCTACGTAGATAATTTTCCTATTCTCGGATACTCTGTTCCTTCTGAGCAGCTGAATCCGTTTCTGTTTGCTTATAGCTCTGGCAGCTTTCCAGCAGAGAGCCATAGAAATTGGTGTCATGAAAGATAAATAAGTTTGTCTAGATGCAGGTGAGTGGGGACAGTGCAGGATCATTCACCACACTCGATTTGCTGGAGCTTTGTTCTTCTATTTGAAAATCTTTTAAGAAAATGAGAATTCTTTCTTTAAATATCTGGGACTCTAATGTCTTTAGCACTTAGCATTTTCATTGTGTTACATAACCAGGACGCATTCCTCTGTGGCAAGGAAATGGTTTTGCCTCCACTTTACAGGTGTAAGGATTTACTTTGTCACTTCTGCTGGAGAAAAGGGTTTGCTCAGCCTCCTAGAAGGCAGTTTTTGCTTGAGCTGGGAATTGATGGTGGTGTTCTCCACCCTTTCCCAATAACTGGCTGTAATACGACACACAAAACTGTTGAAGCTAATGTCTTTCTTCAAGAGGGACATTTCTTTAGCTTTGAAGCGGTTGTTGATCAAAGCAAAGGACTCCAAAAAGCACTTAGGAGGCTGTAGTTGATGTCAGTAGAGTGGATTTTGAATGGTGATCCAAGATCCCCTTTATGACTGAAACACGCTGTCATCTGGAAGCAAGGAGAAATGTACTGAAGGACTCACGTGTTACTGAATGTGCAGCAACAACAAAGCTTCCAGTTATGCCTTGAATAGATGTCAGAGTACGCATTATTGATGTAATTCTAAAATGACTTTGTTGTCATTAAACTGATCCTATTCTACAATGTGTTCATTGGGGGCTCCTTCATTCTCAAGCTGAATTCTGCTGAAGAAGAACTTTGGTCGCTGAGGTTATTTATAGCATACTGTATTGCTTAAAGGCTTGAAGAAAAAGTGCAGTCTCAATCCCACTGGAAGGAGCTCTCAGAAAATCTCTTAGGTATGAAATTTTCATTGCTTGTCCAGAAATTACTTAGATTTTAAATTAGTATTCTGATCCTTTGAGTCATATCTCAAGTATGCTAGGGTTTTCTCTTTGGACTAAATACTTCTCTAACTTACTGAAAAACAGAGACTTCACATGTCACTGTCTACTGCTACTACGAATACTCATTGTCATATAAGCCAGGTTATGAAATGACAATGCTTGGGTTTCTTTGTTTCAAGTGGTTCAGCTGTCCTAGCTGTGTTTCATATTTTTGCACACTCTGTTTGTAGAAGAAGAAATTAAAAATCACCCCCTTCGAGGTTGTAATGTAAATATATTAATCAGTTCTGCTTTTACCCATTTGTTCCCTTGCAAACATTGTTCATTTGTCTCAGTTGCTCTCCTTCACCCTTGGTATCTTTTTGTATTTGTACATCCCTGGAGTGCCATCAGCCTGAGTCCTCCAAGTCATCCCTTGCCTGTGTGGTGGGTTTGCCTTGGGCCAACAGCAAAACCCCCACCCAGCTGCTTGCTCACTCCCCACCCTAGTGAGACAGGGGAAGAAAATCGGCAGAAGAGGAATGAGAAAGCTTGTGGGTCTGGATGAAGACAGGGTTATGGCTCACCAACTGCCATCACAGGTGAAACAGACCTGACTTGGGGATACTGAACTGAATTCATGGCTAATTAAAAGAAGTATTTACTTACTGATTCAGCTAGTGAGAAACAAAAAGACAAACACTAGGGTAGAGTTTTGCCCTTTCTTACACAGTGCCCAGCGGTGGGGCCGTCGGAGCCGGCTGGAACCTGGGCTGCCCCCAGCTGCCCCTGCAGCCCCCTCTGCCCCACTGCTGCTGCTGCTACCACCAGCACCTGGGCACCTGCAGCTGGGTACAACGTGGTAGGCAACAATACGAGAAGCAGCATTTCAGGAGATCGTCCACTGTTCTGTAGGTTTCAGTTCAGTTCCACAGAAAACGCCTCGCCTAAATTGTTTGCCTCTCTCATGCCCACAGCTTCAGCAAGCCTCTTTTGGGCTTTTTTCCCCTGCGATGAACTAATCAACCCAAAATGTTCCCCTCTTG